CAATCAAATATCACAGCCAGTCAGTGCACTGCACTCCCAGCTAGGGATGTAACGATTAACCGCGAGCCGGTTGAAAAAAAATTCAAATATGTGACGATTCAAATCAGTTGAGATTATTATAGTGTTATATTTCAATTTCACAAAGAAATGTGCAGCATTTTGTCCAAGCAATAATAAAAGGACACATTTAATTTATAATTTGTCTTAAATCTAATTTTGTTAAAAAAATAAAAAAAAATCGTGAATCGAATGGAATCGTGAGTTGAGTGAATCGTTACATCCCTACTCCCAACGAAAAGGATAAGGATAAGTTTATAATCTAATTCATAAATATTAAACCTTTTGGTCACACTTTATTTTAAGGTCCGATTCTCGCTATTAACAAACCATCAGCTTCAACTTTTGCCTCAGTAAACTACTAAATTGCTGCTTGTTAACAGTTATTAAGGTTAAGGTATTGGGTAGGAGTAGGGATGTAGAATATGGTCGTGTAGAATATGTGCTTTATAAGTACTAATAAACAGCCAATATGTTAATAATAGGCATGCTTATAAGCAACTAGTTAATAGTGAAAATAGGTCTTTATACTAAAGTGGTACCACTCTTTTTAACATTATTAAAAGTGCATACTGAGGAGTGACTGATACCATCTTTGTTAAGGAATACACTTGTTGGTTCACATTGAGTTCATAGTTTTAATTATGTTTGCTTAAATTCGAAACTATCTATTGTTGCTTTCAGAATGGCTATAAAGGTCACGCAAAATGATATCCAAACTCACATTTGACACGTTAACATTGAATAAAGCACATAATCAGTACCTGAGATTATCATTTTCGTATAGTCTGTATATTTTTTTTCTAGCCACGACCTTGCAGAAAATAGAAACCAATTCTAAAATAGAATCCTGTCACTTGTCACGTGTCGAAGTCATGGCTGGTTAGTACAAAAACTCAGATTAACATGGAAAAGATAGCTTTTATCGCCTTTTATCTACCATTATGTGTGGTTAGGACACGGTGTTAAATATTGTTATTGTTACTGCTCAGGAAAATGGTTACGTTTGACAGGGTACTTTTGACACACTATGCTTGACACGCTATGTGGAGTAAATTTTCACAATTGAACAACTGTTCAAAATAAATTGGGATCAGTAAGTTTTTTTAGTTTTTTTTTTAAGTAAAAGAATATATTTTATAAGTAAAAGAATATATTTTAAAATAAATTAATACCTTTATTTAGCACAAAATAAATTATATGCTGTTCTTTTTACTTTATATTAATCAAAGAATCCTGAAAAAATGTAAAAAAAAATTAAATTTTAAAATATTTTAAAATAGAACACTTTTATTTTAAATTGTAATAATATTTCACACTATTATTTAATTTATTTTTATTGCTGTATTTACTGTAAAACAGTCTTACCGACCCCAATCGATTCATCAGTTTCAATTAATTGATTCTTCAGAATTTTTTATTCTGATTGGCATTCTTAGATTTTTATATATTTACTTTGTGACATTAATGTAATTGGACTTTAACCTTTATAACTGGACCGAAATCTTTATACTTACTGAGCTTGCAGCCTTTTCTGAGAGTCTGGAGTTGCCAATCTTGTTTACACCTGTTTAACGATCATTGAGTTTGGGTTACAAATGGATGATCAACTCAGTTTCAGAACCCAGCAGAAGCACAAAAAGAGCTCCATCTCCCTGTTAAATTAGTCTGGCCCGGCGGCTGTGTTTCCAGCCAAGAGTGAATGGAGTGATTGATTGAGCCTGGTGTGAGCTGAGGTGAGGGAAACAGGAAGCAGTCCATGCAGATAACACTGGTGGAGCAAACTCTATTGGCCCTAGAGTTTAATGAGGCATTGACTTCATACTGCAAATCACCACAGACCCCCGGAAGGCCAGGTGAGGCGTGCACACGTGTGTCTTTTGCCCATGTTTCTTATGCACCTGCATCAATCCCAGCATTCCCGGTTCAACGGCATTTCACAAGTACCAGCTGTACGGTGTGTGTCAGAGACCACTCACCATCTGTCATAATGTCTGTCCATCACAGCAATGATGGGTTTTTTTTCTTCTGTTGTTTGTTCATTTTTCTTGTCGTTCATACTCGTTCTCTCTGTCTGGCTGCTGCTTGGCATCTCTTCAGTCACTCGGGGAGGTTGGCTTCCTGCCTGCAGTCTCCATGTGTGGGTCCCTCCTGTAACTGTCAGCCCTGTCGGCTGAGGCTGAAATGTGCTGGTCTTTATTCTCGGCTCCATAGTGGAATAGCAGGAGTCTTTGCTACTAATTAAGTGTGGTGGAGATGAAAGTCTTTGAGCTGATGGGACTGTCTGCTCGAACTGTGGATACATTTTATCCTTTGCTCATTTTGGGATTGTTTCGTTGAAATCTGTGGAGACGAGGGGTAAATCAGTATCATAGATTTATCCCACATTGATTTGTTTTTGTTATACAAAAAGTTTAGTCAGTATTTGTTCATGCAATAGATATTAATTCAGAGTGAAATTACATAATTTTAGTCAACAAAAGTAAGTTGACAGTTTTAAGAGCCTGTTTAACACACTTTATTATTATTATTTTTTGTCTTATTGTTTTGTGATTTATTTGAACATTCTGAATCTATTGTGTGTACTTGTTTGTATTAATATCTTTTTTGTATGTTTTAATTGGAGTCATTTAAACAACATCATGTTGTGTCCTTTTTTGCTTTACAAAAACCAAAAACCCTTTGTCAACAAATATTTTTTGTCTTACAATAAATGTCCTTTACATTTAATTTTTTTAAATTACATTTAATCCTATTTTTAAAATATTTCCTTTTTGTCATGTGCATACACTTAAAAAGAAATGGTGTATAATTCATGCCAACAAATAATACCTTAGTCAATGAAAAGATGTCAAACTGTCAAAAAGACCAAACTTTGACCAGATTTTCATTTTTGAGATGTTCTGAACATAGTATTAAAAACGTAACAGCATAAACAAGATACAACACGAGTCTGAAGTAATAGCATATATTATTTAGTAAATATTGAGTAAACTTTTCAGAAGTTACAGCTTTAGAGAATGTTATTAACTTTCAGTTTTAAAGCTTGTTTAATGCTCGTTATTTGTATTTATTATTATACAATTGATTTCTGAAGCAGTTCTATCTACATTTTTGTATTGTTAATGTCTTTTTCTCTTGGTATTTTTATCAACAGTATCTTTTAGTTGGAATAAATTATATTTTAAATAGCATGTGCCTCTTTCCATTTCGTGAAATCCAGAACCCTTTTTCAACAAAGATTTTCATCAATAATTTCATTGACGAGATTTACTCTGCCACAGTAAAGCACATTTTCTATTTTAATGTAAAGCTTGGGATGCAGTCACACATCAAGCATTTGCACAGAGCTCTATCACACAGCACATTTTACACGTATTTCCCCTGGAGCTGCCTTGCGGAATCAAGCTTGTTTTAAGTAATTAGGCTCTTGCATATATGACGACAGCAGCCAACAGTGTGTCATCTGCTGAAATAGTGTTTCAACTCAGTGATTGTGAAGTTCCAATGAATTTCAAACAGTTGCAGCATCCATCTGCAATTCATCTCTCTGCAGGTTAATGAAGTAAATTGGGGAAACTATTGTTCTGTCATGAGAGACAGTGTGTGTTTGTGTGGTTCGGTTTCTGCATACGTGCGTGTACCCATGCATACGTGTGTGCGCTGTAGTCACAAGCTTGTGTGTATGTATGCCTCTAGTGCACTTTTTAGCTCTACACTGTGTTTGGATTGTCTTGCTTCCCTCTGTGCATGCAGATGTGGGCATTTGCACGCACATCAGCGCTTGAGAATGGCAGTCCAGCAGCCCCTAGAGCTCCATGCATGCTCCCAAAGAGCCAAGTGTTAATCATTTTGAGCGTGTTGTGTCTTTACACATGGAGGGAATTAGTACTCGTATCTGTGGGCTAGACTGTAAAGTACTCTTCAAATCTCAAGCACTGTAATTACTGTTGTCTGCATGTTATAAGCAGCCGTCATACAGCTGTTCAGAGATTCAGTTCTGTGTTGGATTCTGTAGCTGTGCTGATGTTCAAACAGTAGAGAGAATGGCACTAGCAATGGCGAGGTCATAGGTTCAATTCCCATGGAATGCATGAAATGGTTTAAAAAAATAACTTTGCAGTTAACTTTTTAAAATTCACTTTGGATAAAAAGATTTGCCGAATGCATACATGTAAATGTGGTAGATTTGTAAAAAGGATGGTTGCCTTTTTTTGGTGTGTGCTATTTATGTATAAGGCAGCCTTTTAAGAACAAAATAGATCTATTTAAACAAAAATGTCCTTGATTCAAAAGGCTTACTTGACCATGTTTACATCCTTTTTACTCAACTTTGAAACTGCAAGCCTTTTATATTTAAACTGATTTAATTCTGTGCTGGTTATGCTGGATCTAAAAATGTTTGTGGTATTATTTATTTATTTAATCTGTAGTCTCTCTTACATGCAGTTATTGGCTAATGTTAAGAGTCATCCATGGACAAAGATTTCTTGGAATTCATTTGGAATTTATGGATGGATGGTTGGATGGGTAACAATGGATGGATGGATGGATGGATGATATTGAATGGTGAATGAATGGATGGATGAAACATTAAAATTATGGATAGATGGATGAATGGATGGATGACACATTAAAACGATGGTGGATTGATGGATGGATGGATGAATGGATGGATTACACATTAAATCGATGGAAGGATGGATGGATGGAATGTTAAAATGATGGATGGATGGATGGATGGATGATAGAATGGTAGAACAACGGGTTGGTGGATGGATGGATGGATGGATGGACAGAACATAGATAGATAGATAGATAGATAGATAGATAGATAGAATCTTCTTATTAACATAATGTTTCACTTATTATTTTTAATATGTTAAAATGAAGACATAATGAATGTAAATGGTGTGCTTTCCCTGTCTTTTATGTGTTTGCAGATGGGACGCCTTACACATGGTGGGTCGGCCGCGGTAACGAGAAGCACTTTTACTGGGGCGGCTCTGTGCCGGGCATTCAGAAATGTGCATGTGGCATTGAGCGCAACTGCACCGACTCCAAATACTACTGCAACTGTGACGCCGACCAGAAGCAGTGGTAAGCCACACATTACCTGATTAGCAATATGCCGTTTCCATGGCGATCATCAAAGCCAGTAGCTAATTATGAGCTTGGACTAAGTTGCTATTTGCGAGTTACTGACCTTCTCAGCCCACCTATCAAACTTATGAGAGACAAGCATGTCATGTTCCCATCTGCCTTATTGTCTCTGTGTATTCATTAAACACCGGTGTCTGCTGCGTGACGCAGTTGTCTCGACCTCAGCACTTGTGCAAATGGCAAACAGATTGTGCTGATAAAGAAGTTTAAGTAGAGCCAACCCTGATATTTCTATCAACAAAAGCTCAGGCTGGTGTGTTCGGTGGCTTTATTACTAAAGAGAGCTGTGGGCGATATTGCAGAGGAGGGGAACGAGGTGATTCGTCAGACACTCTGATAGAATTGTCTGTAATGCATGTGTGTGTGTATTGCTTTGAGACACATTCATTTACATCCTTTGTAATGGGTCTTTATACAGTAGCTGGTAATGCCAGTCAGCTGTTAAAGAGCAGAGAGATAAACAATCCACCTTAACACCACAAACTCCATCTTAGATTTGAAAAGAGAAGAAGAGAGAAAGTCTGCTAGTATTACCATTATCACAGCATTTTCATCTGGGCACAGTTGTTTTTTGAACCAATCAGCTGAGCAATACAATTTCAGATACAAGTAAACACTGCATCTGCAATATCATAACATCACAACAAAACTGATTGGCTAATGGCACCACAAGAATGCCCAAAGGCCCAAACACTAAAGTTGTAACCATTGTTGTTAACTGAAACTTAAACTATTAAAAATAATTTTTCGGTAACAAAGCTAAAATATATATATATATATATATATATATATACACACACAGTATATAAATATTAAAACTTGGCAACTAACTGAAATAACGTTGAAGTTCCAAAACAAAAACTGAAATGAAAATGGATTAAAGCTATATAGAAATATTATATAGCTATTCTATTATATAGAAGTCATAAAAAAGACAAAACCACATAAAATTAATAAAACTTTAAAATGAAATCTTTAACCATAAAAATAAAAGCTAATTCAAAATATTAATAAATGCTATAGTAGTAGATAAATAATTCTAAAATAACACTGTTGTAAGGTAAATAAAGTAGTCAAGGGAAATAGTCTATTTCATGTTTCTATGAGCCATACAAAACAAAATTAGGCACCAGTGAAACATCTACTATACTATAATGAAACATTAGCAATGTGTAAAATGAATTAAACAGAATACACGTTTTTGCCCACTGTGTGTCTAATCTGAATCAGAATAAGAAACATCTTTACTGCAAAGTACCAACAATGACAGTAAAAATACAATAAATAAATAATATTAATAAGAAACATTAGCTGGATTTCCATTATCCGTAAGTGCGAATTGAAAATACGCCTAATAGAAACATGTAAGTTGCGCAAAAAAAATCCCAAAAAAAAAAAAAAAAAAAAAAAAAAAAATTCATGAGGTGGTTTTTCAGGCAATTCGAAAAAGAGGAATATTTTGCAAAACTGCAATGGAAACTGTTTTTCTTATTTACAGGTCACCTAGTGTATGTAAAGTTACTTGAACATTCTTTAAAGATGGCACAGTGTGTTTGGACAGAAGATGAGACAGAGTTCTTTATTAAATTCATAAAATATAAAAGAATTATTAATACTGGATTCTAAACAACAACAAAAAAAATCCATAAGTCATCAAGACCTTGAAGCAGATATGAGGGAGAAGGGCTTCTAGAAGCCGTGGAAAATATTATGCTCCAAATGGAAAGCTCTCCAAAGCCCTGTTCACACCAAGAAGGATAACTATAAAGATAAAGATATTAGCGTCCACACCAGCGAACGATATTGTCTGTTTATTCTAAATGCTCACTCGTCTGCCGCTTTAAATTCTCGAGCTTGATATAGCAGGGTTGATTCTGATTGGCTGTCAATGTTTTTATTATTCGTCAGCTGGAAAAAATTGTTCTTAAAGTGATTCCAATTATATCGTTTCTCTGTGCCTTTAAAAAGTAATCACTGAATCTACTTAAGAAAAGCGAGTAAATAAATCTCTAAGTTGGCTGAACTTGTCAAATTGAGTTACCAACACTCAAGTTTTCTGGTAACCTATACTTATACACAAGTTACCTATACAAAGTTACAGTAAGTTTTATTAACTCAAAAATGATTAACTAATTTGCCTGAGAAATTTGAGGCAATCAGTTTCCACAGGTTTTCCAAGTAAGTTCAACTCGTTACTTTTTACAGTGTAGCTGTGGTGTGGACTCTGTTATTCTACAATATTGAGAATGGTTTTTAGAACTATATCTTTATCGTTACCTTTATAGTTATCAACCTTGGTGTGAACAGGCCTTAACAGAAGTATCTTTTGGAAAAGAGAAACCTCTGCAAAAGTGGTGCTGGTGGAAAAGGGAAAATAATATTCATGTATTTCAACCTACTTGGCCAGATACTTTCAAATAGTCGCATAACATCAGTTAATGGAAACGTCATCCTTTCACAATATTTTCTTATCAACATTTAGAAAATATTGTGCAAATCTGTAATGGAAACCAGGCTATTGTAATGTAAAATAAAGTAAAAAGAGTTATGAGAAAGTTATGGAATAAGAAGCAAAAGAAAAAAATACACTCAAATATATATATAATATATTTTAGTACACACGAAAAATAGGAAAATAAAAAATAGACATTAACTCTACATTAGTGCAGGAATTATCTAGGCCATGCTAACAAGCTAATCCATTAGTGCTCACATGTACTGTAGTACTGAATCATTCATACTGAAAAGTATTGATATAAATAGTTTAGTGTAATTAAAAATGAATTGTTCTGCCCAATGTTTGCTTGTCCTGTACATTTTTATACATATCAGAGTATTGCACTATTAGCTTAGCAACATGCTAATGTCAGACTGTACTGAAATCAATTAAGCTGTGTTCTCTCTTGCAAGCACTATTTCTGTGGCATGTGGAGTTGTTGCCTATGTAAAGCATGTCAAATTGATCACTTAAAAGGGTCTGTGCGAGTTAGATTGCAGCCTTATTTTGTATTTCACTGCGTTTCCTTTCCGTTGTTTTTCTTTGTAAACATGCTCTAGACAAATGTGTTTGACCAATGCGCTTTTGTTTGCAGCATCTCTAACATGACACAGTGGTTCGACAGCCCTGCAAAAACACATTCTGTGTGAATGGCCCCTTAGGCAGCTCACTTGGTTTTGGAACAGCTATATAGACTATTATATTTGCAAGCATTGGCGCTCCACAGGAAGTGTATTGGATGGATTGGTGGAAAGTAATAACCAAACAGACTTTATGTGCCCCTGGGTAACTCTGTGTTTGTGTTTGTATAAAGTACATTGTGTTTGTTTGCACAAGTTTCATTATGCTAAGAGCTTGTAAATTATCTTTTAATACTATATTCTTAAGGTAAACATAGCCTCAGTCAGTGAGTTGTATCTTATTAGCATATTAGCATTTGTATTTTCCTGATGGATTTTCTCATCATCTTCTTGTTTTGGATACATTTTGTGAATATTTATACAGCTAGGCTGTTGGAACGAGAGAATTTTGCTGCTTCTGTTGCTGGTTTAGCTGAACACAGTAATATGTGTTAATGGCCCATGCACAGATGGACAGCGGGTTATTGCGATGCACTCGCCACTTGTCATAAACCCCAAGCAAACTGAACCACCATGCATAATGGATACAAATTAGGACATTGGATTTCAAAGCAGCACGTTTCATTCCCAACCACATTGTTGATGGTGTTTTTTTTTCCTCTACAGGTTTACGATATATAATTGTTATTTAAATGGCTTTTGCAGTTGCATTGGCACCGTGATAGATGGTGGCATTAAAATAACACGCACATAGTGCATGTACCTGTGAGGTTTATGTATGTCTGCGTCGCAAAATACATGGAGTGAGTCTCTCCACTGATTAAACAAATTGTATTGCTGTAATTAAACAGCTAGTCATCAGTGTCAAAGGGCTGCTTTTGAGAGAAAACAAACATTTTGCGTATTAAAGCTTTAATGACTTCATAAGATCTTGTCAACAAGGAGAGTTAAGATTCTTAAGGTTTAGTACTATGATACAGAAAAAAAAAATTTTTTTTTAAATGTTTTTTCCTCACAATGTATTCTGAATTATATTGTTTGGTAGGAGGGACGATTCTGGGCTTCTGGTTTATAAAGACCACTTACCGGTCAGCCAAGTGGCTGTCGGGGACACAAATCGACCCGGCTCGGAGGCCAAGCTGACTGTGGGACCTCTCCGTTGCTATGGAGACCGTGAGTCTATTTCTTTCTCCTTAAATAATATCTAGCTTTGGCTCACAAAAATACAGCTTTTGGATTAATAACGAATAACTGCACATAGACATCTAATTATGTGGTTTTAATGCTTTATTAAATTATGTAAACAGTTAAATGTTGTTTGCATATTATTCTGAGTGAGCACTGTTGTTGTTTTTTGTCCTTTGCAATATGTGAAAGCAGCTTTCTTCTTCTGGTATAGTTACTGTGTACAAGGCTATGAATCTTTGATGTCTTCACATGGTAGCCTTGCAATTAAAAATCTTCCACTCTTGAAATATGTTCTTATAATCTGTATTGCCAAAGGATTTGTTTTAATGGCATCTTCTTTAAATAGACATTTAGCATTTTTCAAGGTCAGCCCATTGTCTGCAGCACTCTGAAAGAGGACATAGGACGTAACTGTCCCGAAGCTGTGATCGCCAATCAAACTTTTCAATCATCATTACATCCCATAGAGGCCCCCTGCCACTCATTTTTAAAAATTGGTGTCAACAGCCAGCTTGCCATATCTTCATAAAAATTATCAGTTTTTTTCCCTCTGAGTAATTGTGAGGAAGGCGAATGAGAAAACTTGTTTTGTTTTTTTGTGAATCAGATGCAATTATAAATGCCCAAGTTTCACCAGAGCGAAACAGAGAACCCAAGGGTAAAATACAGAGCCATCCCCCACCATCATCACCATGTGCAATTATGCATTTTTATGCCTCATTATTCCTGTTAATTGCATCTGGCTTATTACTTAGATCAGGTGCATTCGATTACACTCACCTGTTAGACAAGAGCGTCAACAGCTGTTTTTTTCCTCCTTTTTTCCTGTTGTTCCCACACACCTGTGACTGGAAGCTATTTGTCCTATTATTCCGTTTTCTTGCAATTTAGGGCATGTAATACTTTGTTTTCATCAGGTTCTTCCAACTACTGGACATATAGACATAGTTGGATATATAAGCCAGTAAAGTACATGATCAGAGATTGTCAGTACATCTCAAATTTGTCTGCTTAGCCTGAGCAAACTGAAATTATTGAGATCACTTTTGTGCCCTTGATCGAGGCATTTATGCCCAAATGACATCAAGAGAGCAGTGCCGGTAATAAGGGTACTACAAATAATCAGATGAAATTCTCTGCTAAATAACAATTTTCCCTATGTGTTTTATTTCAATTGCACAGTTATCTGTGCTAATCAGCAGCCACAAACTGCACGGAGCCACTTAGAAAATACTGCACCTCCTGGTCTGGAAACATAATCATTGCTCGTCAGGGGGTCCCACGAATCAGGGCTGAGTCTGCTATTATTTATTCATTTCTTCATATATTCAGGGCTTTAGTAGGAAGGGAGCAGAGCAGTAGTGCATTAATGCAGAAAGCCAGCCTCACTATGGTAATGCTGCATATAAATGTTGCTCTTAGCCACCTGCATGTGCACAAGAAGAAAGTTATAGGCCTCTGGACAGTCTGCACCTCACCCATGAGGCCCCTCTGGGCTTGCATTTATGCTGCACAGCGTAATGGTTGTCTCACCGCTGTTGGGTTTCTGCTCAAGTCTGCAAATGCCTTCTAGCATGGGTCCAGCAATCCCCTAAAGACTTGTTTGTTTTTGCACTCATTATTTATTTACTGCGAAGTCTCAAAATTAGGTAATTGGATGCACAGACTGAATGCCAATGTGTTTAGGAGCCTTAATGTGAAAATAATATGAGAAACCACTGCTGCTTTATAGCAGTCCAGTTCTATTAGGTTCAGAAATCAAACTTGAGATAATTTCAGATACTCTTCCACTAAAAATCTTTGCTTGCCCCTAATGGACTCCTGTATATTTCCTGTAAGAATACAAACCACATCCACATTTCCCGCAAGCGGGTCTGTAAGATTCATAAGATTCAATAACATTATGCTATTTCTGTCAGGACCACTATCAGTATCAGTGTGAACTGACCACCACACAGAATATGAAGAATATCATAAACTTTAGGAGTTAGTTTAAGGCCTCGTCCACACGGAGACGCGTTTAGCTGTATACGCATACATTTTGTATCGTATAGGTGTTTCGTCCACACGGATCTGGCGTTTTGGGAGAGTGAAACCCATATTTTTTTAAACCGGGTCCCAGAGTGGATAAATCTGAAAACGCCGCCCTTGCGTTTTCGTGTGGACAGCGAATCCGTATATTTTCTGAAACGATGACGTCATCAGCCCACATCTTGCCCCTAGTCAGACACTGCTACGTCACGTAACAGCAAAAACAACATGAACAAACACTGAACGATTGTCTTTTTATTAACTAATATTAACACAGATTAATAAATGTATTGTTCCATGTTCGTTTGTATACCGCGCGCAAGATTTATGCGCATAGTCCAAGTCTTCTTCTCCGTTTTTAGTGTATCTCTGTAGCAGAATTACAGCGCCACATACTGGTCTGGCATGTATACTTTATGTTTGTAATATACAGCATTTTCAGAACAAAAATGCAAAAATTTTACTGCAAAATTCGGAATGGTCCATGCTCATAATGGCTGACATAGGAAAATTGGGCATTGTTTGATTCGGTATGGCACTCCGAATCTAACGAGATCAGTCTTATGGTCAAACTGTTCAGAAATTATATACAAATATTAACTTTTTTATATCCTTTGACCAGGTGGCACTGTGCCGAAACTACTCATGTGCCCTCAGGTCATGCTTGGTATAACACGCTCCAAGTGTGGTCAGAATCCTCTAGAGGGTTGGGAAAAAATTGTCTATTTTTGTGCGAATTTTGTCAAATTCATTAATGCACTTTATGAGAATGGTTTGGTCTATCAGAAATCTCTTGATAACTTTTTGCCAGCATTGTCTTTGGTGAAAATAAGACAAACCATCTAATAAATTTTGCTTCCAGACCTTACGCTTCAAAAGTTATTAGCAGAAATATGAGTGCAGATTTGGCCTATTGGTGGCACTAGAGAGTTAACGACTCCAAATTTGCTATGGTTAATATTGAGACTGTCTTCTATCTGTGTGCCAAATTTCATAACTTTCCCGCAAGCAGCTCTATGGGCTGCTGTAGACTTCCAGAGCGGAAGAAGAAGAAAATGTATACAGTAGGTGCCTAAGCACCTTCGGTGCTTGGCCCCTAATTACTGTTTTTACTGTATTTTTTGACCAAATAAATGCAGTGTTGATGAACATAAGAGGCTTTTTTTCTAACAGTGAAGAGGTTAATAATCTGAATGACTTGTTAGTGGCTAGTTTTATTGCTGTTTTAGCAGTATCTGGTGTGTCCTTTTAGGTGTGCATATATTATATTATGCTTTCTTTGCAGTGGTTGTTGGCATAGTTGGTTAATTAGTAGTGGGAGTAATTTGTATTCTCGCAGACAGATGCACTTCAGTAGAAGCAGCTGGCATTTAATGGCAAAGTGTTTAATTTCTGCACAACCAGTGACAACAAACAGAATTGGCTACAAACTGACGCCATCGAACTAAGCTGGAAATTGGCATATCGGACTGTTCACATAAAAATATAATGTTAGTTTGGAAAATGTTATGTTTTGAAAAAGAAATCATAATTTTTTCCATGTATAAATAATCTAATCAAGATTAATAAAAGGGTTCTACTGTTGTGATTAGAAATGTGTCCAGTCGTTTTTGTACTTGCTTAAATGCTCAAGAGAAGCGCTGGATTCAGTGAGTAGTTTAGTTAGTAGTTTAGTGCCCTCAAAACTTCAACAAAAAAAAAAGGAAGATGGGTTTCTCATTTACTCAAATCAATTAATCTCCGTTGCTGTGCCACGGCGTAGGACATACGCCATCATCTTCAGACAGGTTGCATAATTAATACTCATTAATATCCGAGAGAAGGAATAAAGATAACAAACAAAATGATGATTTAATGATGCATCTTGCCAGGCTATGATGTGCTGTGACTTCAGACCACTGGCTGCTTTGCAAATTAATTGAGATAGATAACCTGTCAGTATTAAAGGAATATGATACCCCCGCCTAACGAAGCAGTTGCTAGAAATTATAAATTAGTGTGCCACGTGCAATGTGACGGCAATTCCGTGATATGTGAAAAATATTGCATACATCTCATTACGATGCATTAGACATTTTACATCTGAGTAGTTTTCCTGTTTGATTGATAAGACTTATGTTCAGAATGGAATTATGGGACTCATGAATAACTACAAGACATTTCATGGCTAAGTGAACGACATCGCTGATAGGAAGTTCCATCTTCATTGCAAAAATATTGTATTAGCTGCAGTTAAAACCTAACCTTGGGGTCAGACTGGAATCCTATACTTTGGTCATGCTCCAACTGTGGCCAAATTGGATGATATTTGCATGGTCACAGTTTAAAATTAGAGTTTAACATCGTGCAACTGGGGCCGTAGTCTATGAGTAGTTTTAATGATTAAGTCATTCAATTTAAAAATGATAAAAATTACGAAATGATGCTCTGAATAACTTGAGTTTGACTCAGTTTATCTTTCCAAAATGTCCTGTAATATCCTGCAAGCATACGGTTAAGATCCCTGACATTTTTCGACATATTGTCTGGGTGCAGTTATAGAAAATGGCTTAATTATGAAATAGAAATACTTACCGGGGAAAAAATCATTTGAACTGTTATGTCCCCTCAATTCCCAGCTCCCTGAGCCCAAAATAACATGAAATAAGCTGAAGTCACAAACTCTCACATTGCTAGCTTAGTATTTAACCAGAGATGATGCAAACAGGAGAGCTGCAGGTATACGATTCATCAAAAATAGCATTGATTCCAACTAGATCGACCAGTAAATTATCATCAGCGATGAGGATGTTCAGTGTTGCTTAGTTACTGAATCACTGAGCCATGGTGATGCTCTCATGCCGTTTCTCATGCGTTCGTGATTGGCTTACACCTGGAGACTAATGAAGGACTAATTCTGGATGTGATGTGTGTCGTATGCCCAAATTGCCAGAAAGTATCCTCACCTGATTGCA